TCAATTCCATGTTGTCCTCCCCTATGTAACAGGTACACTCAACATATCATAAAAGACGAAGAAAGGACTTTTACCATGTACCACCAATGGCGATATTGAGAATAATGAAAAAGTCGTTGTCAAAAGGCCTAGGGAATACAGCGTAATTCCATTGGTTTATGAAGTTGAAATCTTACCATCTTTCCCAACCTTGATTACCTTTATCCCATACAAGAATTCGCTGTTCAAATGGCTGATTGTCATCACCAACAAACATTTCAAGTTGGTCAGAAGTCCAATCCAAAGTATAAATTTTGAAGTTTGAGCAAGCATCCGGCACATCTACACCATGGGTGGGTTGTGTATTTTTCATATGATTATATTTCGCTGTATGTACACTCGACACAATCTTATTTGGATCGTAGCCGACCTGTTCCATTACATCGATTTCTCCATTATCGGGCCAATATGCGTTGCCATAGATTTTTGTTCGAGGTAGCTAAACGAATGGTATTACAAAAAGAGAAGCAATTCGCAGAACAAACAACTCACCATCCATATCGCTGGCCAGAGACCTCTACCTGATGGCAGTTTTGCTTTTACTTGAAGTCGACCATAAGTCCAGGACATTTTCGATTTCAGTCGAGCTGATGTGAATCGTTGGCCTTGATAATCTTCACGGTGTGCTTCGATGATCAATCGTTGATTTTCACATCGGGCGTTGTCAGTTCGATCGGTGTAGCATTGTGCTTCTTGATTACCTGGAGATTTCGAAAACTTCATCAATAAACATTAAAAAATGTTGAGTGTCATTTACCCCAGCCGTTATCTCCAGTGCCGATGTCAAAATCCCATCTATTCCGATCGACAGGATCATCATCTGAGAATTGATCTTCCCAAACGAGCCGATATTGATTGCTAGCCATGGGTCTGTAAGTTGTGCAAAGAAAGCCGAACGTGCACCCCTTTTTATATGAAAATCAACTTTTCTCCACGAGCCTCGTTGGCTTCCCACTATGACGTATGAGTTACGCGAAAGAGAACAGAACACATTTATTTTTAGGTTATTATATTATACGATGTGAAGAAAATGTCCATTTCACAGGTAAGAAGAAGCGATAACACGCGTGATTCACACTGTGATAGGAGTTAATGACTTAAAAACAAAAAATCTCCACTGTTTACCGAACATTAATCATCTGGTGTAGATCATTATTTTTCAAATAAACAAAAATTTTTATGAGTTAGGCAAGTTGTCCATTGCGGTAGTAAGTTTATTTGTTATTTCATTAGTAAGTGTCTTCCAGGCTGTTTCTTCACTCGCACTCAGTTGATTGTCAGCGCTTGTTGCACTGTTTCGCACGAGATTTTCACCATAAGTCTACAAAGACAGAGTACACTATTGATTTTTTTCGACTGTGATGAAAAGTCTTACTTTAATATATCCTGCTTTAATGCCGAGTTCCTTGAGCTCTTCGGCTTTACTTTGTGCAGCTGTATTGAGATCACCATTTGCATTTTTAACAATATCGATATAATGATTCAAAAGATTATTGCTCGCTGTTTGAACTTCTCGTGTACCGAGTAATTCAGCATTTGTTTTTGTAGTTTCGGGAACATTGAAAATCTTCTTTGCTTCTGGATACTTATTCAAAACACTAAAAGAAAACTCATTAAACTAAATATCGATGAAGATCGTCAACGTACCTAACAAAAGCATTTTTACTCAATTCTTTAACCGTATCGGTATTGAGAAGTCTTTGAAGAAAGTTCTCCTTAAGACTTTCAATACCTCCATCAGCTGAATTCAGTGTGTCAGCTGCTTTGGAATTTGAACAACCCATAGCGAATGAAAATTGTTGATATAACACGACTGTCAACTATTTTTCTCTGATATTAATTGTTGCTTTGACGACGTTTATATGAACTCGAGATTTTCTTTCTACGTGTAAATGCCGAGAAAATTGAATTACTTACGAGGGAACATATTTAGGTGATTAAGCTATTTAGATCCCATCTTTTGGTGATAGATAGACCTCTATGAGGTATGAAAAACCTCAAGAGGATTCGTGCCCTCGCGCCTTTGTTCCACAGATATTGAGTTCTCAAGATGTATACGAAAAGAGACTGAAATGAAGGATGATCGTTTTTATAGAACAGTAGAGTTTTCAGGTGAAAANTCTATAGAAAAGATATCATTTACAAAGCAACATGTAAGAAGATCAAATTCCTCCACGATTATGAACAATTCAAACGAACTTTCGAAATGTTGGAAGAACATTGTTCCGAATGCATCTACGTAACTGTTCCTTTGCCCTTCGATCTATTTCTCAACATTGATTTTTTACCTCGTATACAGAAATTGGTAGTTAGCAGCGGTAAACATACTGCTGTTGGTGAACAGCATGAGTTCACAATACACACTGAATCATTCGATGCACAAGTAGATGTCACACTGTTACATGGTTGTAAAACTGGACAATGAATAGCAGGAGCACAATAACTGATGTTGTTCGCTGTGCGATAGTTGAAACAAGGTGTCGGCGACAAAGAACAAGTTAGATTATCAGATGAAGTGATGTTGCATTGTTGTAAAGAACAACTTGATGTTGGATTGGATGCAGAATGAGATGCTGTCGACAGTGTAAATTCCACATTATTGCTCTGGGAGACACACGAAGAACTGGCTAATGCGATAGTTCGATCTATGAAAAGATTTTGTCAATGAGAAAAATATAAGATGAGTTGTCAAACCTTTGAGAGAGAGAAATGAGATGATAAGAAAAAGGAATGCGACAAACGCCATGAATGAGATTATGAAGGAGACCAAGAAAAAAACTTTATTGACAGAAATCGACGATTTTTTTTATGAATGTGAAGAGAATAGAGTTGTTTTTCTTTTGAAAGGCTTTTTACTCTGGAAGGAAAAAAAATCATCTGTGGAAGTGCGTTGCTTACTATGAATACGTGCTAGAATGTCCTTTTGAAAATGTCCCCGGACGCAATGTCCTCTTTCTTTTCGTCCTCCCATATAAATATATATGGGAGGACGAAAAAATAAAGGACATTTTGTCTGAGGACATTTTTAAAAAGACATTCTAAGCTGTTACCCTTACTATGCTGTTACCATTTACCAATCATAGTCAAAATCACACCATTTTAGACAAAGTCATGAATATGAGAATCAACATTTGTCACAAAAGAAAAGACATAAAAGTTCTTCTATAATAGTTTATTTTATCGTGACGTATTCTTCAGATCAATATACAATCCAATTTAGGATATGAAAAGTAGTTTTTCATCCATAGTAAATTCTCCTTTTTTCAATTTCAACACCTGTGCAACTAACTGCACTGAATTAAAGTCTGTCGATCGAAAGTCTACGAGTCTCGAAAACGGAATGATGTTGATCCATTGTTCTTGTGTGGACTGATCTCCTGATAAGATAACACGGATAAGTATGATGCTCTTATACCCTGATTTCCTCTGATCATCGTCCATTTGTAACTAATGTTCGATATGCAGCACGAGTGTTTAGAAAGATTTGATCAGATGATTGATGAGTTTTACAGAGAGTTCGAATCATCCAGAGAGTGAGGGTGACAGGTTTGGTTATAAACATGATTGGAGTAATGAGAAGCATTTGAATCCCGGCAAAGATGATACTTAACACTATACTAACGAGATGGTCTCCAAATATGATATAATCATACACTTTAGAGTGTTTCACACGATGTCAGTCTTCTCGACGTGGATATTTTGTGACAATAGTGAATCGACTGACGTTCCAATCGAACAAATAACGAAAGCACGTCAGAAATAATCGTGACAATTTTTTTCTTTGCAATTTATGGATATTTGATGAACAGATGATGTACATTAAGTTATAGTATGGAAGAACCTGAGGGTGAATGTGTGCGTATATAAGGGTGTTCTATAATAGAAAATGGAGATTTATAGACGCGAACTTGGGACTAACACCTCCTTTTTAGTGAAAGTGTAAACATATTTAAGTCTTCATGGAAGTTTTCAGTAACTACATGATATAGAAAGCATTCTGCTGTGTGTACATAAGACATCTAAACTCTGTTTTTTTGTAAAGAGAATATTCGATCGTTTAGAATTGCCAAAATATCAATACAAATCCATCATAATTGTAGGTTATTTGATTTTTCTTTCTCTTGGCAAAACTCACGCGGTGCGTTTATTATTCGATCTTGAAAAAATGACGATTTTACATACGTGGATGAAATATTCCGATTAAAGTATAACCATCAACCTGCTTCTACAATTGTACCGAACAAGTCATGTCCCGACTTATGTATTCAGGCAGGTTTTCTCTATCGTCATTTGATTGGACTGTACTTTTTTCGTGTATAATGTAAATTAGTTGTGTTATGCGCATTTATCAGCATTTATTTATTCAACGCTACAAACATCCGAGAAAGTGCTTTTCAAAACATCAAAGTCGGACTACGTATGTTGATCGAATACCTAGCAACTATTCAAAAGGCATATTTCAACGATGAATCCATTGAAAACAAGCCGCCAAACGAAGAAATCCCAGCAGTCTCGGTGAATAAAACCACACGTAGTAATGACTATAAATGTAGCGATCATCCATATACAATCCGGATCGTTCATCATACACCGTTGATTGTCTATATTGAAAAATTTCTGATTCCGTATGAGATTCATCATTTAATTAAATTAGCCAAACCATTATTTCGACAATCAACAATATACGATAATAGTGGAAAACTGATTCATAATGATTATCGAACGTCATGAAGCACCGCGGTGGTGAAATGTATCGAAGAGCGATTTGCTCGATTTCAAGGTAATCTAGATCTTGAATACCTCGAACCATTACAAGTAGTCAAATACACATCTGAGCAAGAGGTTTGTACGTTTTTCACCTTCGTTCATTCTTCATGAATTTCATTTTTATAGTTCAAACCACACTACGATTGGTTTCCTACGGATGATTTAGTACAGAGTAGTGACCAAAGACTAACGACCTTCGTCACCTATCTTTATTCGAATTGCTCACGAGGCGAAACTGAATTTCTCAAGATTCCGTTTCACAAATCGGGCCTTCGATTTCCTCCAATATCTGGAAATAGTATTTTTTGGTACAATGTAGATGATCAAGGAAAAGGTGATGCTTCGACATATCATGCTGGTAGACCACCGAAAGACGGCGGTCTGAAAATTGGATTGAACACCTGGACACGTTCAAAGAAAATAACGACAAAAAAGCGAAAGGATGTTATGTAACGTCTCATGAATGTATATTTAACTGTGAGAAGCGTTATGATTTGATCTTTACCAGACTAAAAGATGCTGTTGAACTGTTCGAAGAAAACGCCCTAAATAAATGAAACGTTTCAGAAAAATGCTATAGGCAAAACATGAACATACGGCGGAGTATCCATAAGCGATAAGACCAGTAACTACATTAGCAAAGTTTTCTCTACTGATTCGATCTGCATTCTTGATCACGTTTGTTGTGATTCAAATATGAGCACTATGAATAATGAAACTAGCAATGACTAACATAATTATGTTCCAAGAGTGTATCACGATTTACACTAGATAGAGGACGTACGAATGTAATCAATTCCATAACCTATAGAATGTAGAAGGATTAGTGCGATAAGTTTGAATACTAGAGAGCATGGAGATGTTGAGAAGGTTCCTGACTAGACGTGGAGCGAAAAGAAAAAAGCCGAAATAAATGGTGCTTAGTTGGCCAATGTCGAATGAAAACATGGAGATTCGTGGCTGGTAAGATCCGGAAACGTTAAAAATTTCACGATATGATGCGATACGAATAGGAGAATGCAGCACATCGAGTAAATTAGAGTGAAAAATAAGTTATTCTCATAATTACAAGAATAATATGAAAGAGAAAATACACGAACAGTCAGCAGTCTTGAAAGGGTAAAGCACGTTATGACTCTTTCTCGACGCGTATTTTCTATGCCTGTTTTGCGATAAATGGTTAAATATGAAATTTTATGAAGGTAGAAGAGAGCTTTATTGAATCCATGAGAAATGTTTCATCGTGATTAAGATCAGTGTTCCTTTTTCTTTATCTATGATTAAATAGATCAAAATCCTCGACCAAAGATCGATTCGTAGTGATCAGCAGGAAGATCATTGCCTTGAGAAATGTCACTCCAGAATCGAAGCACTTTCTTCACATAAGTTCGATCACCCGTGCCAGCTGGTAATGCACTCAAGTCATTTTTGTCAATACCATTCGGCCCGGAATTATAAGCGCGAAGAGTTATACCCCAATCACGATCGGCTACTGTGTCATACATGTCTTTCAGATAACTTGCACCTAACATGACATTTTTAGCAGGACCATGTAGGTTTCGAAAGCGATCAGCATATTTTCTTTCTAATTCATCTGCTGTATATTGATTGACCTGCATGAGACCTGAATCACCGCCACCGTTCGGATTCCATGTTGAATCAACATTGACGTTGCCACCGGATTCTTGATAAATAACAGCACCAATTAGATCAGCTGGTACACCTGTTGCTTGCGATGCTGCATTGACCATGTCACGTAATCGTCCTAGCCAATCGGGTACTTTCCCATTCAATGTTGTATCCATCCGTCCGTCAGAAGATGATCTCTCAGCACTGGCATTTCCCGCTCCCGGAAGACGTATCTGTTGACCAATTTGAAGTTGCTCTGGAGCGACACCGGGATTAGCATTCATGACAGCATCAAGACTCAGCCCATATCTTTGTGAAATTTCCCAGAAGGTATCACCAGACTGGATAGTATAACTGGACATGTTTCAATATACGCGTGACTATCTGAAAAGAAAGAAAAAAAGTAGACAAAAAACGCACACGATAGAGTCATTGTGGAACTAAATCAAAAGTCTCCCAGGCGTCAACATTTGTGCGATCGGCAGTTAAAGCACCTCTGCCATAGTCTACTGCACAAACGTATTTGCCGTTAACGGCAATGAACGCTACTTTATTTTCACCACGATAAATCATTTGAAACGTTTCCCACGCATGGATTCCATTGCGGTTAACAATCAAAGGTTTTTTTCCTGCAGCTTCTGCACACACATATTTTCCATTTGCATGTGATCGTAGAGCAACTTTATTTCCATCGAGAGTAATAAGATCAAATTTCTCCCAACTACTACCGACAGCATCTCGACTGGCTATCAGTGAACCATTGCCGCCATTTTCAGCACAGACGAATTTACCATTGGCATTGGATCGAAGTGCAATCACTCGGTGAGCAGCAGGTGCACTTTGGGTCCCAATATTTTCACTCTCAAGCTTATAGAACCGAACCCATTCAATTTCCATTCGTTTTGGAAAAATACTTTCGTCAATTCCATGTTGTCCTCCCCTATATAAGAGGTACACTCAACATATCATAAAAGACGAAGAAAGGACTTTTACCATGTACCACCAATGGCGATATTGAGAATAATGAAAAAGTCTTTGTCGAAAGGCCTAGTGAACACAACATAATTTGATTGGTTGACGAAGTTGAAATCTTACCATCTTTGCCAACCTTGATTCCCTTTATCCCATACGAGAATTCGCTGTTCAAATGGCTGATTGTCATCACCAACGAACATTTCAAGTTGGTCAGAAGTCCAATTCAGAGTATAGATTTTGAAGTTTGAGCAAGCATCCGGCACATCTACACCATGGGTGGGTTGTGTATTTTTCATATGATTATATTCCGCTGTATGTACACTCGACACAATCTTATTTGGATCGTAGCCGACCTGTTCCATTACATCGATTTCTCCATTATCGGGCCAATATGCGTTGCCATAGGTTTTTGTTCGAGGTAGCTAAACGAATGGTATTACAAAAAGAGAAGCAATTCGCAGAAGAAACTACTCACCATCCATATCGCTGGCCAGAGACCTCTACCCAATGGAAGTTTCGCTTTCACCTGAAGTCGACCATAAGTCCAGGACATTTTTGATTTCAGTCGAGCTGAAGTGAATCGTTGGCCTTGATAATCTTCACGGTGTGCTTCGATGATCAGTCGTTGATTTTCACATCGGACATTTTCAGTTCGATCGGTGTAGAATTGTGCTTCTTGATTACCTGGAGATTTCGAGAACTTCATCAATAAACATTAAAAAATGTTGAGTGTCATTTACCCCAGCCGTTATCTCCAGTGCCGATGTCAAAGTCCCATCTATTTCGATCGACAGGACCGTCGTCTGAGAATTGATCTTCCCAAACGAGTCGATATTGATTGCCAGCCATGGTTCTGTAAGTTGTGCAAAGAAAGCCAAACGTGCACGCCTCTATATATGAAAATCAACTTTTCTCCACGAAGCTCGTTGGCTTCCCACTATGACGTATGAGCTACGTGAAAGAGAACAGAACACATTTATTTACGATTTTTATTTTTAGGTTATTAGATTGTACGATGTGAAGAAAATATCCATTTCACAGGTAAGAAGAAGCGATAACACGCATGACTCACATTGATAGGAGTCAATGACTTAAAAACAAAAAATCTTCACTGTTTATTGAACATTAATCATCGGTTGTAGATCATTATTTTTCAAATAAACAAAAATTTTTATGAGTCAGGCAAGTTGTCCATTGCGGTAGTAAGTTTATTTGTTATTTCATTAGTAAGTGTCTTCCAGGCTGTTTCTTCGCTCGCACTCAGTTGATTGTCAACGCTTGTTGCAGTGTTTCGCACGAGATTTTCACCATAAGTCTACAGAGAAAGAGTACACTATTCATTTTCTTCGACTGTGATGAAAAATCTTACTTGAATATATTCTGCTTTAACGCCGAGTTTCTTGAGCTCTTCAGCTTTACTTTGTGCAGCTGTATTGAGATCACCATTTGCATTTTTAACAATATCGATATAATGATTCAAAAGATTATTGCTCGCTGTTTGCACTTCTCGTGTGCCGAGTAATTCGGCATTTGTTTTTGTAGTCTCGGGAACATTGAAGATCTTCTTTGCTTCTGGATATTTGTTCAAAACACTAAAAGAAAACTCATTAAACTAAATGTCGACGAAGATCGTCAACGTACCTAATAAAAGCATTTTTACTCAATTCTTTAACCGTATCGGTAGTGAGAAGTCTTTGAAGAAAGTTCTCCTTAAGACTTTCAATACCTCCATCAGCTGAATTCAGCGTGTCAGCTGCTTTAGAATTTGAACAACCCATAGCGAATGAAAATTGTAAATGTAACACGATTGTCAACTATTTTTCTCTGATATTAACTGTTGCTTTGACGACGTTTGTATGAACTCGAGATTTTCTTTCTACACGTAAACGCCGAGAAAATTGAATTACGTAGTGAACACATTTCCTCTCGTCAATCACTTTGAAACGACGAATGACGTCACTCGGAAGCGTACTGAAAAAGAACTTTTCTTTTCTCATTTCTTCTTTGTTTAACATTGAAAATTCTGACAAAAGTATTCATAATCGTTTTTTACAATTGTCTATATTGCCTTGCGTAGCTTTCAGAGCAGGATGATCGGCGGGTAAGATCTGTTTACGAATTTCCAATGTGCGTTGAAAACACACGAGCCCTTTGGAAAGATTCTCAACGTGTACATAAGTGTACGCGATGTTATTGTAAAAATCAGCTAGATTCGGGTGGTCTGGTGGAAGAGTCGCTTCGAAAATATCACGCGCTTTTTCGAAGAATTGAAGAGCGCTCGGGAAATCGTTTAAATGATAATGCACCAAGCCAATATTGTTGTAACACGTCCCTATCAACGAATGATTCGACAGAAGGGTCTTTTGATAGATTTCCAATGCTTTCTGATGGAAGGAAAGTGCTTTGGAAAAATCGTTCAGCTTTTGGTAAGTCAAACCTATATTATTGTAAGTAGTTGCCAATAGTGAGCTGTCTGCGGACAAAGATTTCTGATAAATTTCCATCGCTCTGTTTAATGACGATAGTGCTTTGGAATATTCACCCATCTTTTGATATAATAAACCGATATTATTATACGAAATCGCTAAATCAGGATGATTCACAGGTAGCGTTTTCTCCTTAATATCGAGTCCTTTTTGAAAAAACGAATAAGCTTTAGTAAAGTCACCTAGACTTTCATAAGTCGAGCCAATGTTGCTGTACGACGTCGCTAACATTGGATAGTTCGATGGCGGTGATTTTTGCCAGATCTCAAGTGCTTTTTCGAAATATTCCAACGCTTTTCGATAGTCCCCCGTTCGTTGATATATCATTCCAATGTTATTATACGAACTGGCTAATTCCGGATGATCTGAAGCGAGAATATCTTTTCTAATTTCCAGTGACTTTTCATTGAATAGAAACGCTTTTGGATAATCTTCTAAATTGCAATACAATCGACCTATATTCCCGTAAGTAATCGCCAATTCTTGCTTGTTCGTTGGAGTGATTTTCTGCCATATTTCCAGTGATTTCACATAATAGATTAAAGCATGTTCGTAATCTTCTTGGTTATCTTTGACATAGCCAAGTTGGTTGTAATACAAAGCTAGTTGATTGTCAGTGGACGGTTGTTCGAGTAGTAGTCGATAGAGTTCTTCTGCCTTGGCGAACTGACTCAATTTAAACAAGATTTCGCCTAAGCGTTGCCATTCGACAACGTGAGAAACGCTCTCTTCGATAGATTTATCGAGTTGGCGAATTTGTGGATCGTCGTTACTGATTAATTTCAGTTCAATTTGATAATGAAGTGGATTGTCATTTAACATTTTCATGCCATCGATACGAAACATGGAATGCATTGCGAAGAGTACTTGTCCTTGTTTTTGAGAATAACTAGTCTCTTGAATCGAGGCGAATGGAACCGTTTGTATCGCTGGATTCACTGATACTTGAAAGAGGACACCAGCTGTATTTGGCTTTGTCAAAGTTTTGATTGCATCTTCGGAAATTTCATTCGTTAATAAAAAATCATTAAAACACATCACTTGACCTATACTTTTCAATAGATTTTGAAACGTTTCATGGGCGACGTATTGTGCATGATAGACAATGAAAGGCTTTTCGTGAGCTTGTTGTTTGTATAACTGTTCGATTTGGTGATGCAAATCGTGAATAAAGAAACTCATTCTGAATAATGTGTGAATTTCTAACGATCGAATCGCTTGTGTCAACATTTTATTCACAAAACATTGCCGTGTGTACCACCAGATTGGACTTTTTGCCCGATAATTATGTTCGAATTCATCGATGTGATTCGATTCACTTCTGTTGTTCATTTCACGAGAATAATTTGTAAAATCTTTCACAACGTAATCGTAAAACTTCATATTGACAACGATGTCCTTGAACACTTTTGTATACGGATAAGAAAGTGCCACTTGATCAAAATTCTGTTTAACTACCACAGCGAAATCGTAATCGGATTGTTCCGTAACGTTCTGTTTAGAATTAACACTAATCGGCATCGACGTCGATTGGATATTTGCTTTGGAACTTTCACAACCCATATCTAGATGAAACTATGAGCGATTGCAGTTTTGAATTCAATATGTTTAAAGTAACAATGACAAAGGACAGAAGAAAAAACAAACGTTGTTGACATCAAAATCGACAGAAAGAAATGTTATTAAACAAGTCACACATTTCTTTTCAAACTCCACGTACATTATCCGACGTCAATTGTTTCATACGTCATCAATCAATAAACAGTTTTTTAAAACATTAATCATTTATCGCACGAACTTTTGATTTGAAACATAGAACCTGTTTAACGATGAATACTGACAGTAATCGACAAATGATAAACAATCCGCCGTAGAGATCGATTAACATTGCTATACCTTCGATAATACTGTGTTCGACCAAATAAGAGTGAGTGCACGATAGAGGTGCGCATGCATTGAAGTATTTTTCATACGAAACATCCATCATTAGTTGTTCCAGCATTAATTCATTCACAATGGATTGAAATGTTGAATTCAGTGAAAACTGACTCGATAATAACGAAGATGAATTGATTGCTCGGAAAGTATTTGACGGGTCAATACATGTTTGATTGTATAAACATTGAATCGGTGTTTGTAAGATTGTTTCAAGTGTGTAACATCCAGCGAACATTCCATGCGATGGTGAAATGCATTTCGATGATGTTGCACAGCTACAGTGATTATATTCCTTCGGGCTTGAGGAAAAGGCTGTAGTGCCATAAGTGCTGCTAGCCGCAAACGATAATTCCCAGTTATTGAATAAACTACTCAACAACTTGTTCGCGCCAATTGTTTCTCGAATTAAGGCAAATGTATTGGCGTATAATTTCGGCATCGTTCGTCGAAGATCTTCCATCGTCTGTTGAATGTATACGTCTAATGAATTGAATGATAGGAGATCAGCTTGAATTAGATCCGTCGAGTCAAATTGTAAAAGAGCATTTTCAACTGTTTTTTTCGATAGTTGACAAAAAGTAACCAGAATTTGAAATTGTTTAGAAGCCGTATAAAAGAAATCTGTATACTCATACCGATAAAAAGGATTGATATCACCATATAAATACGAAATCCACTCATCGGATACGAATTCGCTCGAACAAATCTCATGAAAACGTGATGTGACCTTGAGAAATTCTTGATGTGGGATTGATATTTGCGAACAGGCACAATGTAACGAATCCGACGATTTCTTAAGTAATTCTTCGTATACATATAAACTAGGTTTATCAATCCGAACGGTTATGATGCGAGACGTGACGCCAGCAAAGTAGTAAATAACACTCAGGGTCACAGCCACCAAAATGAAATGCAATCGATGAATAACTTGATGTTCTGTAGTACAACCGAATATACTTTTAATAAATCGAGATGAAACACGGCCATCAACACGAATGGCTATGATTTTGTCAATAAATTGTAGTCCAATGACAATCAATAATTTCAATCCGAGCGATAACCCACCAAAGATACCTAAAATGGTGGTAATCACGATGAGAAGATTGTCTCGATCTTCATATTGATATGTGCAGGATGACGGTGCACATGTGTCATAGTACGAAGTGAAGGAAACATTCACTAACCACTGATCAACCATTGATTTCTCGACGAGAGCAGCAACTGTTTCATTGACTAAACTAAGACGCGGATCAAGAGCAGAAAAGTTAAACGATACTGTTGGATTTGCATATCGATGGATTTGTAGCATGCATGAGATATTGTAAAAACACTCCAATGTGGATAATAGTAACGATGTAATATGGAAACATCCAATAAAAAAATTCGGAATTGAATACACTTTGACATACTCAGTTAAATTTGCATTATAAGTATAAAGATTCGCAAGTGAATGGCATGTTACTGAGCGTCGACAGCTACAATCTGAGTATATCATTGACCCCATGGATAGTTGTCCAAAGACCGGATCGACTCTCATGCCAAAATTGAGGTTATTACTTAGTTGATTGTTCTGGATAGCTGTCTCGAATAGTTGAATTGTCGTGAGATACGTTTTCATAGTTGTCCTCTTCCAATTTTGAAAGAAAGAATTTGTCTCAACTTGAAATGACTCTGGAGGAATAACTTGTAAACTGAAGAACTTTGTTTGCAGAAATAACTCCAAAGCATTGGCAATTATTTCTTTAGATTGTTTGCAAAACATCGATAGAAGTTGAAACTGGCTATCTGCATTTGATTTGAAATCATCACTGAGTACAGCTTGATTACTTGTCGAAACAGCGAAATATTCAATCCATTCATCGGATACTAGATCACTTGAACAGACTTGATGATATTCCGGTTGAATGGTAAGAAAACGTGAGTATGGCATAGATATCGAACTACAAGGACATGAGAGAGATTGCAAATGTTGTCTTTCGAGTTCAGTGTATTGGGATTCTGTTGGATTACCAATCGTTTTGGATTGGTTTGTTTTGATCATCAATGAATAAAATGCTAGAACTATAACAGATATTATCATGCAAATTAAATAAACTCGGGTAGCATAACATTGATAGCGAATTTGTCGTTCTGAACTTGGATAATGCTGAAATAAATTCAAATACATCAGTTGTTTGAGAACAAGGTTTTGCAAATAGCGCAAACGAAGTGATACTAGAGAAACAGAATTTGATAATATTCAATCGAAGAAATGAAATTACATACGAGAAATTTTCGATCTGGGTGTTCGATCTTTTAATCGATGAATAACTTTCAGAACAAGTGAAATCAGTAATCCCAGTATTAAGACCAAACCCGCTAATAAACTAATCAATCTCTTGATGATGAATCCAACTGAATATCGAGCGATTTGCAAGTAAGTACACGACGACGGTGCACGTTCGGAATAATATTTCTCATACGAAATTCCAATTGTCCAATTTTCTATCATTAAATTGTTGACTATTGTTTGTATGGTAGATTCTGGATTGTAAATACTCTGAGGATGCGCTGGTATTGCTTGAAACCTTTCATTGGTTGGAAAGTATAAGAGAAGTTGGTCGATGCACGTTTGGTTATAGAAACATTCGAGACTTGAAACGAGAATTGAAGTAACCGGGAGACAACCACTTGATATGCCGGGGATAGACAACAAAAGACTACCAGCTTCGATCGGATATGTTGTTCGAAATGCACTGAATATACCTGACAAACTTCGGTTACAAATGTTCACTCGACAACCACATGTTGAACCATCGTCTTGTGAATACCATAGATTATACAAAGATACGCTGAACAAATTCTGGTTATCGCGCTGAAGTAAATAGAATGCATTCGTTCGAAGACTACTTATTAGTCCATTGTTGATTGTTAAGAAATTGATTAATCGTAATTGGGTTTGAAATGCATCGGCTACTTTCAGCTGAAATTGAGATATCGATGCTTGAGTTTGTGCATGGAGAATTTCTTCGGAGAAAACTTCCAAGCTGAGTAATGTGTTCGAATAGAAATAGTCAATGGTCTGATTGATATTGGACGTCGATAATCGACAAAATGCAGACAGCGCTTGAAATTGAGCACTGCCGAAAGTTCGAAAGTCACCGAGAAAGAATGAAGTCGTATACGATCCTGAATTGATCGCTTTGATCCATCGATCTGTAATGAACTGACTTGTGCAGAGCGAATGGAAATTGGCTTGAAGTGAGGTGAATTTTCCATACGGTATCGATATTTGTGAACACGAACATTTCGCATCTTTAGGAAGAGCATCTACTTCTTCTTTGCTTGGCTTTTCTACTGTGACTGTGATTGTGCGGTCTATTAAAGAAAAGTCTAGGCCGACTGCAAATAGAATTAATAGAAGAAGTAACATATAGATTCGTGTTGCAATGATATTCCATCGACGTTGTTCATCCGTTTCCTGCTCATTATCATCAGGCTTCGGAGCAAAGAAATTCAACGTCAAAAAGTAACGTTTCAAAGAAGACATGAAACTGAGCTTGTTACGAGAGAAAATGCCGAACAATCAGTAAACACAACTTATGTTTAATGGAAGAAAGAAGAGACGAGTGTAGTCATGCACACCGGAAATGTCATATGCTTCATGTGTTAGATAGAAACACTTTTATTGAATGGCTTCTGCTATGAATTTAATTGTTCAATTTAAAATAAGATTCTAGGGTAGGAACGATATTTTTCTTGCGACTAATTCGTGAACCTAGATCGGCGATTCCGTTTTGAATGTCGACATTGAATGCTTCTTCAATAACAGAACGTTCAGGTTCGCCAGGAATGATCATGAAATTTCTTATTTTGGCAATATCAATGATTGAAAAGAGAATTCCTGTTATGTTATTCTTCTTCTTCTTTTCTTCAAGCATGGTGCTGATCAATTCGTCCTTACGATTCAATATATAACTAGAATTGAATGTCTCTGCGAAGCCGATTCCCCAAACTTGACCATTGAAGACGAAAGTTTTATAATCCAGAAGGAGAATTTGTTCTATTGAATAACCAGTCAAATCGCTCTTAGCGGTAAACATTTCATTGGCATAGGAATCGATGTCGACAATCTGGGCAATGCGTAAAAGATAATTGAGCATTAATCGATCGTCGTTAGTTGTCGTTGATGATCTAAATGAAAGTGACGGGCTGAAGGTTGTTGAATACAAATTTCCCTACCGAAACTGAAGCGTATCACTTAGAATGGCACTCAGGAGAAGTGTTGCTATTTTCTTGCCTATATGAATTTTATTCTCGCGATATAACTTCGTTAAGATAGTTGCTGTTGAGCCCATTGGTTCGAAACGAAGGTAAACAGGTTCAGCTGTTGTTAAATCGCCTAATTTATGATGATCAACAACGTATTTGACGTGCATCTTTGTTAAATTGACCATTGATTGTTGACCTGAACGGTATTCAGGATGAACATCAGAATATTTCATCATTTAGTTCACTTACTTTCATTATGATCGACCAGGGCAACTGCTGTACCCTCAGGTAAATCATCAGGTAGCAATTTCGGTGGTTTTACACCTGCTTTTTGCAGAACAAATTTTGTTTCTTTATTGAGATCACCCAGACGATAAGGTTTTGCATTGATCTTCTGACGGCGTAGATAATCTGCGAATACCAATGCACTCACAACAGCATCCGTATCGGGATTGATGTGACCAAAGATAAACAGTTGATTTTGATTGTAACTCACTTTTTTCGTTAGGAGATTTCGTTTAGAGAGCAAGTTCATAAGCATAAGCTCGTCCAAACGATCGATGGATAAGACAAATTTTGTCAATAAATTCACTGTAATGAGAATCAATTGCCAGTTAAACGACAACATTTTGTTGTGAATCTAGAAACCGAACGGAAATGTATGTATATTTTTTTCATTATACACATGTTAAAACAAGATGAAAATTGACGAAAAAATGTTAGATAAAAAAAGTCATTGGTGTAAATAGAAGAGTCAAATTACTTTCGTACTCAAACATCTTCTCCTTTTCTTTTCTTTATGTAGACGCATTCGCACGTGGGTGAACGCTACACGCCTCTACCAACACTTTAATTGCTCGATTTAACAATACAGAGTATATCGTATGTTTCAATCGTGAATGTGTCGGCGGAGAAATAAGTTTCATTTTTATAAATCAAATATCGTCAAAAGTAATACTTTGCTTTGACTCACTTCCTTTTCGTTTGACATTTAAATTCACAAATAATGTAATATCAATAGCATCTTGGGCGACGAGTATTAACCTCTTGAATACGAATGTCTTCAATCGAAGATAAACAGAACGAAAAATAAATTGTGCATTTGGAGTGATGGTGTAATTTGAGTCAAAGATTTTCCACATACACCTGTTGATCCCATAGTCTTACGAATGAAGCTATGAATGCAGATATAGTTTCAATGAATTTACTACACGGTCTTACCTGCAGAGAGAAAGCTCGAGAAATCAGCTTCCGGATTATGAGAACGGTATACAACGAAAACGTTGAAAGGAAATCGTGCGAAGAATGAATTCCCAGTTTGAGAAACCAGCGGTATGATTTTCGATTCATAGGTGTATGATGTAGTGAACTACAGTCAACAATTAACGATGATTTATAAATACGTTTTTTTCTCACCGCCTGAAATTATACGAAAGGATGTTTCAATTTTTATGAAATCATTCAACTAGAACAAGATCAGCTGTTCCTTTTGAATCAACTACATAAATTTCATCATTTCTCATGAAACTAGAACTGGGTGCTTTCAGTTGAGTTTATACCAACTCTTTCGTTCTTTCGATCATAATGATGAAGACAAAAAATATATTGATCAATTGATTATCTAGTTCATCTAAATCTGAATTAGGAAGAACTAACATAATTCCTTCTTCATATTAGTTTTCAAACGTTTTGAAGATGTCCAAAGCTTTTCTCTCTTTCTCTCTCATTCATCAGTCAGAATGTTATTCTAGACACCTGTTTTTACTGTGTATTTATAGACAAAATCCATGTCAAGTGTTCCGTATAAATCTAAAAGTTTCATATGATAAAATATGACACATGTATTTGGCTGATATACACTGAAAAAAACGCAAAAGAGGGTGAATCTTTTTTTTCTCCTTGTGTGCTAACAGAACGCAAGATTGTCGGCACATACAGGAGATTAAGATTGCTCTGCGAGTACATCTTCCGTATGAATCATCGTTTTGACATTTGCTCGATCTTTTTCTATCGATTGACTAATTTAACGTCATATTTTCATCGTGTACAGATACAAAAACAACGAGAGGAAATATCGACATATACAGAGACAACAATAACTTCCTTTTGTTGACATTACACTTCCGCAAGAATTAGAATAACCTTCCCATAAGATGTCGCCGTAGGTATCGAAGTGATTGGCGTTCAGTATAGATTCCTTTGACAACGATAAATCGACGAATAAAACAGTGAAGTTTGCCCATTCTCCTCCGTCTCCACTGTCGTCCTGGTACATATCTCGGAGGAACATAAGCTGGTCGTGGACCACGGTACCAAACCGTTAGCGATTGGTACGCACTGGAGTCATCGGAATTCAGTGTGCATCTAATGTCAAATAAAGCCCAAATACTCATTAAAATCATTCCACCATCACGAGCTAAGACCCATCCATATGAACACGTACGCCACCAAGGAAAATAAAT